GATTAATTTGATGAAGTGATTTTCTGGGCCTATGTTCCCAGAAAATCACTTCAGCCTGGGTAATAACATTTCCACCATAATGGCATACCATTTTCAAAAGTAGAGAGTAGTCTAACTGGTCTGTTTTGAGATGTTTGGTCTAGCCACTTTAGCTCAAATGCAAGGCCCATTTGGTGTTTATACTTTTATTTATGTTTTTTCATACACAAATTCCATTTTCACAATGTGTATCAGAATCCTGATGTTCATTATAATAAATAATAAAGCCTGAATATTTTTACTTGGCATTGTTCCTCCCCTATACCCGTATTCCAGGGTTTTTTGTAAAAACACAGGGCCAAATATATTAGATGCCCCTTTCAACATGAAAATTTGAAAATGCTTTTCTGGGCCTATGTCTCGTTTGAGAAAATATGGCAGCACAGGAAAGCAAATTACCTCCATGAATGCGGATCATTTTTAAAAGTAGGCAACCTACTTTTTTTATTATTTAAAATGGCATCATTTGAGGTGTTTGGTCTAGCCACCGCAAATGCTGGCCCCATTTGTTGGTCATATTTTCTTTTGTGTTTTTTTTCACACACATGAATTTTCACAGGATATTTCTTTAAATCCTATATGTGTTAGTGCAATAAATTTTCAATAGTTTTATTTAACATCGACACAAATAAAACTGCTATGTTGCTTTTGAGAGAACATAGCACCCAATGAATGAAAATTGCCCACACGATGGTATAACATTTTAACAAGTATCCTAAATGTAGTATTTTGAATTGTTTGGTGTAGCCACTTTATAATGGCTGGTCTTAATGTAAACAGAGACCAGCCAAGGACAGAGGAATCCAAAATTCAGAGTAGTTGGTAAAACATGCCGATACGTCTGTGCCAGCAGCTGACAAAGGGTAATGAGGACAAGACCAGGTCAGAAATCCAGAATAATCAAACTGGCAATCACATAAAGCGTAATTCAGTAGCATGCTCTAATGGCTTGAATGGGTTACCTTATTTAAAATATTCATAAGCAAGTGTCTCTAGTGGCTGTATAACAACCACTACTGACACTCTTGCCGGCAAAATGTAAACCTTACCATTTCTCGGAAACAACCATGTTTGTAATCAACAGACTGCAAAGATAAGTCTATGCCGCCAAACCTCTACATTGTTTTAAAATAAAACATTATATAAATGTGTAAGTTATTGGTCAGAGAAGATGGTAACAATATATCCAATGAGAGTGAAAGACTTGGCATTTACTGTAATAAGATCAGAAATAGTCCATGATTTGGTCCAAATTATCTCATTGACCAAAAGGGGGTGTTTGTATGGTATATTCTATACTATCCCTATTTTAGAAATGTCTTTATATCTGTTTATTTTTTGGGAATATGCCTAGCACAATGTGTAGATAAAATGCTATTTCCTTAAAAGTACTCTGATGCCTTATTTGTATGTCAGGAGCATTTTAAACCTGTTTTAGCTTCTTAGGTTTGCTCTGCATATACTAGTTTTACTGTGATAAAACCAATACAAAATGCCCAGCGCATCATTATCGCACTTCCTTTTTCAGGAACTGCGAGAGATGCTTCATCTTCCTGGGACTCGTCCAAGACTTGACCCAAATGACTACCAGGGCTTGGGGGATATCACTAAAGGTGAGTGGAACAGTGTACACACACAACTAAGAAAAATACAGCTTTAAATGTTACAAGGCTTCTTAAAATCGCCTCTCCCGGCAAACAAATCTGATTCAGTTCCACCAAATGGCCATATTGTGTTAATCTCAGCATTACGTCACAGTACGCGAATATCAGTGGGTCCTACACTAATTTTAACATGAAAGATTAACCTGCTAACTGCAATACCGACTGCCTAAACTGCTTTTAGAGACTCTCCTCAATTTATGCTCTTCTGTTGTCACCTCAAGAGGGGCACCTATTGTGGGTAGGTCAGGTGCTTGGCCAATAGGAATCTGGTCAGGATTCCAAATCTACCCAGAAAAAAAAGGGAATTGTGTATACAACCGGAACATGCATTCGGAACAAAAATGGGGATTCAGTTACACCATATGGCGATATTGTGTTAAGTCCACCACCACCTCACAGTACTGTGTGGAGATCCATGGCGGTACAGAGGTGGGTTCTTCTAATCGCTGCAGCACTGACCGGGCAGCAGGGGTCCCCCTAATGCCTGCAAAAAAACTTTTAAAAGTTAAAGAAAAGTTTATAAAGTACATAAAACGTACTTAGATCATATAAATATATGTAAAAAATAATAAATAAATTGAAAAAAATTTCATTAAAAAATAATAAAATTAAATTAAAGAATTATATACCGGTTTAAATTTGTTCTAACTGTATTTTGATATAAAATTACATATATTTAAATCAAAATACATTTTAATATAACGTTATAAATGTGTGTATGTGTATATATATATTTATATTATTTTTACATAATTAAGTACTTTTTTTTTTATTAATTACAGTTTGAGGGACCTGCCTGACAACCCAGGCAGAAAGTCCAGAGAATTTGTTTCACAAGCCCTTTATTTAAACCTGTAACTTTCCTGGGCACAACAAAACCTGTACATGGGGGGGGTACTGTTTTTTGCTCTGGATTTTTTTCACACACAAACTGCACTTTCACTGATGATATAATTGTTGTGATATGTTTTACTGTTTTGAAACACTAATATTTGTGTTCAGCAGAGTATAATGAGTAAAACGTTACCCCCCCCATGTACAGTTTTTATGGTGTTTTCAAAAGTTAGAGTCAAATATAAGGCTTGAGTTTACTTTTTTCACATTTTAAATTTGCTTGATTGGTTACGTTGCCTATGAGAGCGTATGGTAGCCCAGAAATGAGAATTACCCCCATGATGGCATACCATTTGCAAAAGTAGACAACCCAAGGTATCGCAAATGGGGTATGTCCAGTCTTTTTTTAGTAGCCGCTTAGTCACAAACACTGGCCAAAGTTAGCATTCAAATTCGTTTTTTGCATTTTTCACTTTTTTTTGCATTATTCATATTAATATTTTATGTGACATGAGAGCCCTGTTTCTCCTGAACAAAATTATATATGATAAGTGTGGGTGCACGTAATAGGAAAGACTTGAATTACTCTTGACCAGACATATAGCGCAAATTCAAGGTTTTGTTTACGTTTTGTTTTTATCACAACTTGTACAGCGTGCCTCAGTCCTTAAGGGGTTAACATTGTATTATGGTTTATCATGTATATTTTTTTTTATTTTTTTTATTTATATAACTTTTCTTCTTTTTGTGACCATTTCTCCTCTCTGTTACTTTGCTCTCCTAGACTTGCCTCGGCCTAGGAAACGCCTTACTGAACTGTTGGTTAAGTCTGCTTTAGAAGAGCCTACTGAAAAGGATGCTACCCGTTGGAGTGTAGCTGAGAGAGAGTGGAGCTTACGTTTTTTTAGGAGCCCCATTGAGATTCTACCCAGTAAAGATGGGAATAAAGCAGCTGGGGTCCGGCTTTCTGTCACACGGATAGAAGTAAGTGTCTCTTTGAGACTGTTCTAATTATGTCAGAGACTCCTATCAAAACGAGTTGTATGCTCTGATCTCCAGTCAATCTTTTCATATGTTGTGTTGCACAGGGTACTGGGGATAATTCTATAGCAGTCCCTACGGGACAGGTAGAGGATGTATCCGGTGGATTAGTCCTTAGTAGCATTGGTTACAAAAGCATCCCCATCTCCCAAGCTGTACCCTTCCTCCCCAAGCAGGGAGTGATCCCGAACTCTATGGGCAGAGTAAAGGAATCTCCAGGTGAGTGTTGTGTTTTTACTGGTATCGTCGTTATTTTTTTGTGTGTGTGTGTGTGTGTGTGTGTGTAATAAAAAAAAAATAAAAAAAATAATATATATTTTTTTTTTTTTAACTCATTCTGCAGGTTTGTACTGCAGTGGTTGGGTAAAGAGAGGCCCTGTTGGTGTTATCACAACTACCATGTCTGATGGTTTTGAAACCGCTCAGGCCATTTTGGAGGATATGAAATCAGGAAACCTAAACTGTTCAGAGTCCCGACCAGGAGCTGCAGCCATACAGAAATTACTTTCACTCAAACGTAAGTGTGATCTCTCTAACACTCAAACATCACTCGATATTTCTTAAGCCTGCCGATTTATAACACTGCTTTGTATGTTTTGTCTTTCACAGAAATCCAACCAATCTCTTTTTCTGATTGGGAAAAAATTGATGCAGTAGAAACAGCAAGGGGTCTGGAAATTGGTAAACCTCGGGAAAAGATCCTAGATCCCCAAGAAATGTTGTCAGTTGTTTCAAATTGACTTTTCACAATGACAATGTAATGTTAGTTGCTGTTCCAATTAGAATACTTTTATTCTAACCTCTGTGTTCCAACACGTGCACTGCCTGGAATGGCTAAAGCAAACCATGAACTCTACTGGTCACTGACAAAAGAATTATGTCCTACCAAAAAAGATCAAAGATGTGAGAATTACAATACATGTGTTTCATATGTTTCTCAACACTTGATTGTGTGCCTCTGTCATGTATCTAAATGTACAAATCTGAAGACCAAATAATTGGTTTCTTTTCATTACTGTATGTGGCTAAGTTTACAATTCTTCATTTCATAGTCCGCTACAGTACATTGTTTAAGTATTGCAAAACACATGCAATGCTTACTCTCTGACATTACTTATATGGTTCTGCTATAAATGTATTAGTGCATTGATCTTTTATATCCAAAATTACTAGCACACTCAACTGAGCGAAGGATGTCTTCCTGCAATAAATACACCTGAGTGGAAAAACTGTGGAATAAATTAAAGAACTGAAAAATAGAAACTTTCTACATATTGATTTCCAAATTGATGAAAATGTCTTTGTAAAGAAGTGATCAAGCA